GAGATCTTCTCGATTTGCGCTATTTCTCTCGCTCCTTGATTGTGTCTTTGACCTCGCTCCCACTTATCCAGTCTCACCGGTGCGACCTCCGAAGAAGCCGCCGCCAAACGCCCCTGCCGCGGAGAGTACGCCTCTAGGGGGGGAGACTGAGGCCGCCCTGTGTTTGTGGAAAGATAATACGAAGCTTTAAAGATAATTTAACTGTGGTAAAATAATGACAAGTTGTAGCCTTCTAGCTCATTTTGGAGCGCCTTTGTAGCATAATGGAAGTGCGTTGACCTCCTAAGTCGACGGTCTGGGTTCGATCCCCAGCTAAGGCTCGTTATTTTTGCATCTCTGCAATTTTTTTTTGCTGCTTCTATGTGAGCGTGTAGTTATATTGTCAATGGTGGAACTTTCGTGTTGCCGAATTATTGTACGTCGCTTGTAATTTTTTTTTTTTTTTTTTTTGGCTTTGGTTGTTGGCAAGGCACCAACTGTGGTATTGATTGAAGGGTGCCGAGTGATCAAATCAAGCATGGATGTGATTACTGTAGGCACAAGCGAATTGAGGTTTCGAACGCTTTTGTCTCCATTTGTAATTTAACACTTTGACTATGCGAAAAACGGGCAAAGGGCAGGTCGGCAGCAATGCGAATTTCAAAGGAGTGAAAAGGCCCCTCCCAGGGTTTTCCGAGACGAATTCGGAGCCCACGCAAAAGACCATCGCCATTATCGGAGCACAAGACAGCGTTACTTTGGGTACCGGCGAACAGAAGAAAGAGTTGGTGATTCCCGTCAAAAAGAACTCTGACTGGATGAAACGAGACACACCCGTTGCAGAAGAGACTAGCGAGAGGTATGGATTGCAGATAATGGCCCCATCTAACCGCCCACGCGAAAAGCCCAGGGGAGTTGTGAAGGAGGCGGCTACGGAGGATGTGGACGAAGAGACGTATGAGCGTGTGCCTATTGAGGAGTTTGGTGCTGCTATGCTGCGTGGCATGGGCTGGAAAGAGGAAAAAACGGAGGGGCCTGCTACTCATAAAGTACGCAGTAGTTTATTGGGGTTGGGAGCTAAAGAACGCGAGAAAATAAATTAATGTATTGATAGAGGTTTTTTTTTTAGCGTTTAGTGGCTTCGTCGTAGTTTATGAGCTTGGTCGTCAACAGTACGAGAGAAATAAGGGACTCGTTCACTTTCGTCATAAAGGTCAGGGTGGCTTTGACTTTGTAATCCCGCGACATGCCGATAAACTGAGCAACGACCCGGCCATCAGAGTCTTCGAGTTTCCAGCAGTTTTGCATGATGCCTGCCATCCAATCGTACCGCTTGCCATCGAAATCGTGGAACGCCCATGTGCTCCTCCCCGCATCAAATCCACCGTTAGTCATCTTGCCTTGATACGCGAATTGTGCTTGGTCTTTACGAACTCGGTCTATCGTCGCCGTCATTATCACCGCCCCATTACGACCTGTGTTTAAGGAAGCTAGATTATCACCAACGTGCATTGTCCATACGGGTTCTAGGTCAAGGGCTTGTGAGCTACTTTCGAGAAGACCATGGTAGACTAGCGTCTTTTTGTTAAAGATATAAGACTCTTTAACAAAAGTAAATGAAGTAGACATTGTGGTCGGAGAAACAAAAAAAAATGAAAAATGATGAATAGAGAAGGAATAGAGCAAATATCTTTCCCTTTCTGCATTTTGTAATTGGGACCCAAAAAAAAAAAAGACGAATGACATGGAAAGGAGTGGGCAATTCCGGGATTATCTGTTTTCGTAGGTCTTTCCGAATATAGAAAATGGAAAGAACTGATAGATCACCTACAAAAGACAAATAATAAACGATCACCATCCACCTAATAAAACATGCATTATCCCCCAAATACCCAAGTCCGCTTTAAAGGTGCCAAAAGTTCCCAAATAGACAATATATTAATGTGAGTGATCGCCATTTAGAGAGGCTTTCGCTTTGATGACCGAGTGGCCGGCGGCGAGATAATACTGGCTTCCGGCAGCGCCCTCCTCACAGCATTGGGTGGGCGCCCACGTCCGCGCTTAGCCGGCGGTGGTGCAGGGTCCTCGGCAGTGCGTTTCCGAGTCATAGTTGGTAGTTGGCGACTAGGCGGCGGCGGCCGGGGAGCGGTGCGTTTGATGACAGGGCGATTGGCCACTGGCTTGGGCGGCTGGCTCTGTCGAGTGGCCTTGCCGCGCGTAGTAGGTGGCGAGAACACGGCTCTAGCAAGAGGTTTCTCAGCTACAGCCGCGGGCTTCTCCACAGCAGCCAGTGGTTCTTTGACAACAGCCGGCGGCTCTTCAACAGCAACTGGCTCTTCAACGACTGGCGGTTCGGCTGGCATCTCTGTGCTAAACAGGCTGGCGGTATCAATGTCCGAGGCCGGCGCACTAACAGCAAACAGCTCGACCTGCTGTGACACCCCGGCGCTCACGCTCTCCAACGGCAACTCCCCAACTTCTCCAGGACGCTCGACCTCAACCCACCCAGCATCAATAGGCAGGGGTTTCGGCGGATAGGCAAACGCCTCAGCCGCCTGTGTCGTTTCGCTAGCCAATTCAACCGAATTGGGAGGCCTTTGACCCAAGCCCAGTATGTCGCGCATGCGACGTCGCTTCGTAGGCGATTCGCCCGAATTCCAAGCAATAGGAGGATACATTAGTGAAGAAGAGGTTCTCTCCTCCTCTTCATTCTCTTTGGCGGTAGTTGGGCAATGGGCCACGTGAGACGCCACAGGTGATGAGGGCGGCGAGTCGACTAGCGTGCCAGAGGCTGGCATCCAGCCGCGCCACGAGGACCTTCTCTTGTTGAGGTCGGCTACAGTCTGCCTCCTACGCTTACGGTCCTGGATCCGCTTGAGCCGCTGCCTGTGGGCCAGAATCTCATCGACGCTGGACAGTTCCATTTCCATGGGCGCAAAATCATCCATGGTCTGGCGCCGCTGATGCTTCCGCCCCGCACTGAACGTGACGGGCGTGGGTGGTGGTGACGTAACAGAGAGCCCAGCGAGCTTGGAGGCTTCGGCCAGCGCGTCACAGAAGCTGGCGTCGGGCGTCGACCCCTGGATCCGCGCCTGCCTCTCTGCCTGCTCGAGCAGCACAAAGCTGGACGACTTTGGCGGCTCTTTCTCAGCCACCTCCTCCTCATCCTCCTCCAGCTGCGGCTCCTGTTGCATGGCGTCGGCCAGCCCCAGCGGCGCAACATCAGGCACCACTTCGGTGGCAATGGGATCGACGGGCTTCTCGACGGGCTTCTTTGGGACAAAGAGCGTGGGGAGGTCTTCGCCCAAAGCTGCAGCCATCTGCGCCATGGATGCAGCCAGGTCGCTGCCGAGAGCCGGCGCTGTGCGACGACGCTCCCTCCGCTGCGCGCTCAGCGATGGCCGCTTCGTGGGGGACTCCAGGTAGAGCGCGGGCGCCGCCTTCTTCACTATCAGCACGGCTGGCGACCCGCCGGGGCTCTCCCTTGGCGGCGGCACTCGCAGTGGGCTGTCCAGGGTGACGCGGCGCGCGCTGCTGGCAGCCGCCCCGACGCTCCGACGCCTGCGCTGGCGGCGGTCGGCCGAGCTGGCGCCCAGCACCGTGGGCGACGCAATGTCAACAGCAGGCGCCTCTTCCGCCTCCTCCTTGGGCTCTTCTTTTTCTTCCTCTTTGACTGCAGGGGCTGGGCTCTCGGCCAGGCTGGCAAAGTACCGGTTCATTTCCTGGCGCCGCGTCGGCCGGGGCGTCAGCAGACTGCGGATGAGCAGCGTGGGCGACGCCGGCCGCGTGGGCTGGTGGCGCAGGATGGACGACGCGCGAGCCATCTGCATGGGAGTCCCGCGCCTGAGCGGCGTCGACGGCGGCGCCGCCACGTCAAACACCTCGGGACTCAGTGCCGGCCCGAACCGAACCGACTTGCGCGCAATCGAATCCTGCGTCACCAGCCGCCCACCATTCCGGCTCTCCGGAGTCGTCACAGCCGGCTCAGGGTCCGACTCGGGCTCTGGCTCGGTGGGCACTTCCTCGCTGTCGTCGTCGTTGGGCGGTGCGCAACTGCTGGACAGAGTGCGCTTGAGCGGCGACATGCGCGCAGCCGGGCTGATGGGTCGTGGCAGGCTGGAGACGATCTGCGCCTGTGAGCCGGCTCGGCGCAGGCGGTGCAGCGTGGGCGACCGGCTGTACGACGATTGCGGGCTGACGCCTACGGTGGCGCGCGACGTTTCCTCTTCCGACCCATACGCCCCCACTTTCATATCGCCATTGGCCAAATCCTCCGGCGAGTGCGGCCGCTTGCGAGCCGACAGCAGAGTCGTGCGCAGGGGACTCTGCGCCGCCATCTGGCTGATGTCGTCCATGATCCGCGCCACCTCCGCTGCCACCAAGGGAGTCGCTTCGGCGCGGCTGACGCTCTGAGCCATGCGCTCGAACGACCCTGTTTGCTGGCTGGAGTCGCCCGGGGCGAACGGATCCTCAGCCTGCGTGGCTGCAGGCGACTCGGCGTTGCCAGAGTAGTGCGCATCCCACAGCTTCAGCTTGCGAGCTGTCTCGGGATTCCGCGGCGTGCGGCTCAGCTTTCTCCGCAGCTGCCTGTTGTCCGGCCCCCCACCCGACGCAAACACAACGAGCGCTCGTCGGTCCCCGCCATTGCTGGGCCCGCCCACCGTCTGCGGCCCATCGACCACTCGTGTGGGCCCCTGTGGAGTGGCTGCTTCGCCACCTGCGTTCTCTTCGTAGCGCAGGGAGCGCCCCACTATCGTGATCACATCACCAGACTGCAACGTCTGCTCCTGCCCCGCCTTCAGTATCTGCGTATTGACTATCGTTCCGTTCTCGCTGAGATTCCTCAACACCACCTACACCACCAACTGTTTAGCTCAATCTTCCTTATTGTAAACAAACCCTTTCAGTGTTTTTCGTACCTTTTCATCGCTGGCGTTGATTACACAGTGCTCCTTTGACACATGGATGCGCTGCATTCGAATGTCGCACGTCTCATTCCTACAATAAACCAGCTGATTTAGTATTGTGAATTGCAAAAAACCTCACGTACATACGCGTCAATAATATCGTTACTTGCCTGCCTATTAGTACGCGTGTTGTGTGCATGGGAAACGCCTTGCCATCAGCGCCCGAACGCGAGATAACCACCAGTTGTCCGTACTTTCCGCTAGTGGACATGATTTGAACTACAATTTAGGAAACAAGGAAAAAAAGATACTGAACAAAAAAAATCATCTCCGCCCCCACTCCTTATAGACAACACCTTGATCCTATGGGGTAGTATCACGTTGTAATTGATCAAGACGACAATAAAGAATACAACCTTTCTTCAATCGCCTTT